TTTTTTGTTGTTATTGTTAAAATTAATAGATTTTATTTTTTATTTTGTGCAGTACATGGGATTGAACCAAGAAGCCAGTCTGGCATTGAGCTACATCCCCAGTCCTTTTTATATTTTATTTTATTTATTTTTATGTATTTGGGGGGGGGTACCAGGGATCAAACTCAGGACCTTGCACTTGTGAGGCAGGCGGCGGAACCACTGAGCTAAATCCTTGGCCCCTTTTTATATTTTATTTTGAGATGGTATCTTGCTATGTTGCCCAGGCTGGCCTCATTCTTGTTATCTTCCTGTCAGCCTCCCGAGTATCTGGAGTTACAGGCATGCACCATTGTACCCAGCCTAACTGATTTTTTTTTTTAAGCTAGACGATATTTTTAAAAACACTTTTAGATTCACAGAATTGAAGAGGAAACATAGCAGTTTCCAAATACTCCCTGCCTTCCTCCTCCAAGCACAGCTTTCCCCAGTATCAACATCCTGCACCAGAGTTTTACATTTGTTATAATTGATAACATTGTTTTCGCCCAATTTCCATAGTTTAAGGTTCATTCTGAGTATTTATAAAAATATGTGAAGATATGTCTGCACCATTATAGTATCATGCAGAATAGTTTCACTGTCCTAAAAATGATCTGTGTTTGCCCATCCTTCTCTTCCTTATACCTGGCAAGTACTGATGTTTTTATTATCTCCATAATTTTGCCTTTTCCAACATCATGTGGTTGGAAGCCTTATGTATGATTGTGTAACATACACATTTATCATTTGGAAAATACTGGTTCACTGAGTTATGCAGATCTCTTAAATATTGACACATTTTATTATATTTGTTGTTTAGCCTCTTAAAAACTACTATATACGCCTGGTCTTAATATTATATGAACAAAAAGTTAAGTTTGAACACCCCTGAAAAAGTCTTGGGGACTTGATCCCTAATCGTGTGCGTGTGTGTGTGTGTGTGTGTGTCTTGTCTGTCTATCTGTTACTTGGAATTGAACTGTAGGCCTCAGGCATGCTAGGCAGGCACTGTTCCACTGCACAACATGCTTTTGCAGACATATGCCACTGTGCCTGGCTCCTAAACCACGTTTTATATATATATATATATATATTTTTTTTTTGGTATCGGGAATCAAACTCAGGTCCTTGCGCTTGTGCAGCAGGCAACAAAACCACTGAGCTAAATTCCCGGCCCTACATGTTTTATATTTTAATCTTCAATTCTTTTGAAATTTCAAAATCTAAGCAGTGTGGTAGGGATACAAGTTAATATTTTTTCCTAGATGGTTACAATAACCACTTGAACATTTATACATCTTTTCCTTCCTGATTAAAATGCTGACCAGGTATAAAATCCTTTAGTGGGAAGAGGGACTTGAGTCTGCCCTGTTCTTGTGCTGTTTCTGTGGGTCACATAAACAGAGAATGTCAGCTCTTTTGTGGGGCTACAGTGCTTATTGTATAATGAGCCTTGAATGGAACTACGTCTGTGAAGGGAACAGTTTGAATAGAGTATAAATTTCTATTTGAACCAAAAACCTTGGTTTCCTTCTATGCATGAAGTTTGACTTGTGTAGGGACCAGGCAGCTACAGCCATGGGCTGTTTACAAGATGCTGATACCTGTGGCATATGAAACATATTTGCTGTTAGACCATGTGGCCTTGTTTATTTACACCTGAGCAGTCATTTGGAGGACTAGAAAATGGCTCCCAGATATTTTAAGGATCACTTGAAGACAGTATTCCTTTTTGGTTTGTTTGTTTGTTTGAGACAGTGTCTCGCTATGTAGGTTAGGCTGGCCTTGAAGTCCCTATGTAGCCCAGGCTGGCCCTGATGAAGACAATATTCCTGAAGTGGCCATGCTGGCCACTGTACTTCCTGTCCTATATCCTGCAGTGTTGAGTTCAGGTTCTAGTCTACTTAATCCTACAAGTGATGGTAAGCTTATATCTGAGACCTCTACTGGGAGCCGTGCAAAATGGGCTTTGTAATTATAAATAGAATTCCTGTATATGCTTGGGTCTTTTTTTTTTTTTTTGGTACCGAGGATCGAACTTGGGTCCTTGCACTTGCGCAGCAGGTGGCGAAACCACTGAGCTAAATCCTCGGCCCATGCTTGGGTCTTTTTTGTGTTATTTTTACTTGTCATTTACTAGTACCATAATTTTTAAAACTGTGACATCATTATGATTTTTTTCTCTGTTTGGCAATGGTAGAAATTGAACCCAGGACCTGGCAGATATTCCAGGCAAGCTCTGCCACTGAACTACCTCCCTAGCCCCATTATCATACTTTTTAAATATTGGTAGGTCTGTTACCTCTCATCAGTCTTTTTTAAAAAATAACTTTTGGCTACAGCTTATTTCTTGTTCAACTTAAAATTTAAAGTTATATTTTCCTTGATTTTAATAAACTTTAATAATAAAGCATTTATGGTTTTGGCATTATCATGAAAATACCATCTGGACAGTTGGACAGCTGCTCTTTGCCATTTGGGAGCAGGTGTCTTTTTGCAAAAATCAAGCCATTTTATGGTAAGTTATTTCCTCACCTCCCTGTGTCCCAGCCTAGGCAATTGGCCAGCACTCTGTTTTTCCAGCCTTCTGTTGCTGCTCTGTCAGCTTTCTTCATGTCAGGCTGTTCCTTTTTATATGCCTTTTAATTGTACAGGACAGCAACAGCAAGTGCAGGAAAAGCAGCATCTTTTACAACTCACTCATTCTCTCCTCTTCCCCCCCGCCTTTCTACTGAAGATTGAAGCTAGGCTCTTTGAACTGAGCTACATCCCTAGCCCTGTGTATGATATAGAAATAAGGCCTAAGTCACTATACTGCCTGGGCTGGACTTGAACTTGGAATTACAGGCATGTACCACTATGTGTGGGATTATTTTGCTTTTTTTTTTTTTTTTTGGTACCAGGGATCAAACTCTGGTCCTTCCACTTTTGAGGCAGGCAGCGGAACCACTGAACTAAATCCCCAGCCCTGAATAAATGTTTATGTTTAACTGGTACCATTATTTGTCTTTTAGTTCCTCAGAAACATAGGAACTAAAATATCCTTAAATATTGAGTATCAAGAGCTCCTAGTAGCTCTCTTGTATTAGAAGCAGCTACAGTAATTACTTAAATATTACTAAGCATTGCCTTTTAGGGAGCAGGTTTAAGAAAGAACAATAGGGATTTAAGATGGCATGAAGGCAAAATAGAAACCCTTCTTATCCTTATTCTCATGTTTCATAGACTACTGAATGGCAGAGTCACTTCACTCTGCTGTTTTCTTCTTGAGGATCAGCATTGAAGAAAGCATAATATAGCAAAATGCCTTTGTTACTATAACTCTTGTTATGACTTAGATGTTGCTTTCAGAACTGAGAATTAATCTGGGCATCATGGCGCATGCCTATAATCTCAGCATTCTGGGGGCCTGAGGCAGGAAGATTATACATTTACATGCAACCTTCTTTGGTGTAGCTCATTGTGAAGGCCCTGGATTCAATCCCCAGTACCAATAATAATAATAGAATAAGAACTGAGAATTGGGCCGGGGGTTTAGCTCAGTGGTGCTGCCACCTACCTCGAAAGCGCAGGAGTCCCAAGTTCGATCCCCCGTACCAAAAGAACTGAGAATTAAACTAGTTCCCAAGAAGGATGGTATCTAAGCACTTTTCTGGAATTACTGTTCTACAGTAACTTCTGTAACATTTTTGGATCATTCCATACTCATTTCATTCCTTTATTGTCCTATAGGGTAACCAATAGCCACATGAGACTGCTACATTTAAATAAAAATTAAATGTATAAAAATTAATTTCTCATTTCCCTAGCTCCATTTACAATATTTACAAGAAATAGATTGAAAAATCTCTGTTACATTTTGAGTTTTTTTATCTAAAGAATTAACCATATTTTCTTTTTTCCTTTTTTTTTGGTACTGGGGATCAAACTCAGGACCTTGCGCTTTCGAGGCAGGCAGTGGAACCACTGAGCTAAATCCCCTGCCCAAGGATTAACTGTATTTTCAAGAGTTAGGTACCTTCGAGTGTGTTAATTACAGATTTCTGTTACTCCTATTGCAGATTTTTAGGAGGATTTTTTCTTTAAATTCTTTTATTGGTACATTTTAGGTATACAGTACGTCTACATTTATCATTGGGTGCTCGTACCTGTACATGATGTATCTTGGTTCTTATTTTTTTCCCCATTACCTGTGCACCCTTCACCCCCTCCACCTTTCCCTATTTATATAGATTTTGTTTCCATTTTATTCTTTTTTTCATAATTTTTTCCTTTCCCCTCTTTCCCTTTCCTCTCGCACCACCCCTAAACATTTGTACCTTTTTTCCTATTTCAAATTATCAATTATTCATTTTAATCATTTTAACCTTTGTTTACACTATCAGTTTCTCACACTAGAGAAACTAATCGGTATTTACACATGCTTGTCCTATTTATTTCATTTAAGAGTATCGCCTCAATATGCATCCATTTAGCTATAAATGTCTCTAGTTTCTCGTTCTGTATGGCTGAGTAGTACTCCATTTTATCAAAAAAACCACATCTTCTTTATCCAGTTTCCAGTTGATGGGCACTTGGGCTGTTTCCAAGCTTTAGCTATTGCAAACTGTGCCGCTATGAGCATGGTATTGCTGTGGTATGATTCTTTTAATTCTTTGGGGAAGATACCCAGCAGGGGAATAGCTGAGTCAAATGGGACCTCTAGCCCTAGTTCTTTGAGGTATCTCCATACTGATTTCCACAGTGGTTGCACCAGTCTGCACTCCCACCAACAATGGAGAAGGATTCCTTTCTCCCCACACCCCCGCCAGCATTTGTTATTGATTGATTTCTTGGTAGCAGCCATTCTTTCTGGGGTGAGGTGGAATCTCAGTGTTGTTTTCATCTGCATCTCTCAAATGACCAGTGACGTTGAACATTTTTTCATATATTTATTTGCTGCTTTTACTTCTTTGTCTGAGAAATGTCTGTTCATTTCAGATGCCCATTTTTGAATTGGGTCTTTGAATTTGGGGGGGGGGTCTGATTTTTTTTCAATTCTTTATATATTCTAGGTAATAGACCTTTGTCTGAGGTACAGCTTCTAAAAATTTTTTCCCACATTGTAGGTTGTCTGTTAGCTCTGTTGGTGGTTTCTCTTGCAGCACAGAAGCTTTTTAATAAGATGAGATCCCAGTTGATTCTTTGTGCTAGTTCCCGTGCTACTGAGGTTTTGTTCATAAAGTCTTTTCCTATGGCAATGTCTCCAAGAGTTCTACCTAACTTATCTTCCAGCAAGTTTAGTGTTTCTGTTTTAATATTTAGATCTTTAATCCACTTCAATCTTAGTTTAGTGCATGGTGATAGGTATGGGTTTAGTTTTAATCTTTGGCAGGTTGAAATCCAGTTTTTCCAACACCATTTATTAAATAGGCTCTTTCCGCCAGTGAGGGTGGTTGGCTCCTTTGTCAAAGATGAGGTGGCTGAGTATGTCTGAAGTTGTTTCTGCATCTTCTAATCTATTCCACTGATTCTCGAGTCTGTTTCTTTGCCAGTACTGTGCTGTAGCTTTGTAGTAGCTTTGTAGTATAGTTTCAAGTTGGGGATTGTGATACCCCCAGCCATGTCTCTGTTGCCTAGAATTGCTTTTGCTGTTCTCGATCTCTTCTGGTTCCAAATGAATTTTTGGATTGTTTTCTCTAGTTCTGTGAAGTATATTGTTGGAATTTCTAATCAGCATTGGATTAAATCTATATAGTAGTTTTGGAAGTATGGCCATTTTCACTATATTGGTTCTTCCTACCCAGGAACAAGGGATGTCTTCCCATTTTCTTATATCGTGGGAGGATATTCTTACTCTCTAACTCCCAGATATATCTCTGTATAGCTGATAGCTGATATTCTTCCCAAAGTCTAGTGTCACACTTCAAATTACAAATATTTAAATATGTATATAGATAGTTCTCTTGAGTTATATCCTATTGATTCTTAAGTATAAAAATATTAAATTTTATTACTATTTAATATCTTTTGATTTATAGGTGCTCTTTTCCTCTCCTTAGTTATTTGAGTCATTAAGACATCTTCCTTAGGGGCTGGGGATTTAGCTCGGTGGTTTCGGCGCCTGCCACACAAGTGCAAGGTCCCAAGTTCAATCCCTGGTACCAAAAAAAAAAGACATCTTACTTACTTTAGTTACCTGAGTCATTAAGACATCTCTTTGACATGATGTCTATTCAGTTTTCTTTACATTGTTTCTACTTAGTTTTGGCTGGCTGAGGTTAGTTGACTCTCTGAATTCTCCTCACGTAACTTAACCTTTTTATTGGTGGTGATGGTACTAAGTATTGAACCCAGGGCATTTGCACTGAGCACCATTCCCAGCAACCCCCTACCCCTTTTAAATTTTGAGACAGGGTCCTGCTAAGTTTCCTGGGATGGGCTTGAATTTAGCATCCTCCTGGCTCAGCCTCCCAGAGTGCTGGGATTACAGGTGTGTGCCACCATCTTTGGTTTAATCCTGCCCTGGGTTTGTTTGGTTTTGTTTGTTTGCTTTTTGCCCTGTTTTCTTTTTCCTTTCTGAACAGAACTGTGGCTTATGCATCCTTGTAAGATGTCCTTATGTTATGATGATATAATCTTATTTTACTCCTTATTGAACACCGGGAAATATCTTAGAATATTTATGTGAACCTATTTATTTTTTAGTGTGATGAACAAGTCTGGAGTGAACCGTGTTGTTTGGAAGAGGCCTCGGCTCTCTCATAGTGGACCTGTGAGAAGGAGCACAGTTATTGACCAGATTCCTTTTCTGGCAGTGGCCAGAGCACTTGGTAAGTAGGACTTGCTTATGGTGAAGTCATGTTCGATTTTCTGCAGTGTATGATATAAAATAAAAATGGACTGAGTACTCAATTATTAATTGGTACGTGGTTATAGTAATGATGTAACAATATTGTATCTTACTTTTTAAAAACCTAATTGAGGGGAAAGTTAAGGCATTGATCCTAAGTCGTCATGTTCAGTGTCTTTGAAGCTTCCACTTATGCTTAGAGACATATGTCTATGCCTAGGGTTAATGTTACTCTTGAAATTACTTTTAAATACCCTTTCCTATTTCACTCCTTAATATTCCTCCTAAGAGTGTTCAAAGATCTTCTTTTTCTTTAGCTGCAAAAGTAAATTGTCCATAACAAAAAGTTTTTTCTGGTCTGTTTTTGGATAGAGGTTTAGAAAATTATAGAAATATCTTGCCTTGGCTAGATGAGAGGGGTAGTTTTTCTTAAAAAAAAATTATCTGAGAAAACACCAATTTGTCCTCTTTTTCTTTTAGTAGATATTTGAGTCTGAATTGGTATTAGGCATTATAATAGATTTATAATGCAGATTTTCTTCTGGCCTCGTGGGGTAAAGTCTTATAATTGAGGAAATAAGCAAGAAAAAAATAAGTTTGCCTGGGTTTGGTGGTACATACCTGTAATCCCAGCTACTCCAGAGGCTGGGGCAGGAAGATTGCTGCAAGTTTGAGGCCATCCTGGGCTACATAGTGAGTTCAAGGCCAACCTGAACTACATAGTGAGACCCTGATCTCTTAAAAAAAAAAATGAGGGTCTGTAGAAAAATATACCACCCATGTACTCAAGTGGGAGATCTTGACTTGTACTAGGAACTGTCCAAAGGCTGGCTGGAGTTAAGGTGGTTTAGTGGCCTGTGCCTGTAGTTCCTATACTATGAAGGCAGAAACAAGAAGATCTCAAGTTCTGAGTCAGCCGGGAGCGTGGTGAGACCCCTGCCTCAAAAATCAAAAGCAGCAGCAGTAAAACAAAAAAAGCTGGAGTCACTAAAGTAGATATGGGCCATGCTGTAGTAGATATTTACACCTGATCTAATTGTTGTGGGAAGCATTGTAGGATATTCAACTACAGAGTAACATCAGATAATTTGCCTTTTAAAAAGATCATGCTGCCTACCATTATTTATCTTTGATGGTCATATGCACACATATCTAATCTTCATGAAGTCTACAACCTAGTGGGAAATAACAGATAATAAAAAGGCACTGTGAAAAGTGCCATAAAGAAATTAAATAGGTGGTGTGCTAATAATTGATGGAAAGGATAGAGTGTAGCAGGGGAGAACTACTTTAGAAGAGATGATGGTTCTGCCACCTGCCTTGCAAGTGCAAGGTCCCAAGTTCGATCCCCAGTACCAAAAAAAAAAAGAGAGATGAAGCTGTGTGTGGTGGCACATGCCTATAATCCCAGTATTTTTAAGGCAGGAGAATTCCAAATTTGAGCCCAGCCTAGGCAATTAATCAAGGCAGAACCACAACTATGCAAGGGTCCTTAGGCAGTTACAGTAGTATTTGTTTGGCTAGGGGAGTGCAGAGTATATATTCTATCTTCCTACTAAATAACACTGGTTTTCTTCCATACTATTTGCAGTCTTAGTGTAAATATTCCTAGTCAAGATCCTTTTAGAAAACAGCAAAAGATCTGGTATATAATGCCATTGTGGCAACCAGATCCTTTGTACTACAGTTTTGAATCTAGTAAGAACAAAACTTTTTTTTGAAAATTAAGGGTGGAGAAGCAGGTGTGATAACACATGGCAGTAATCCCAGCACTTGGGAAGCTGAGGCGGGAAGATCATTGTGAATTCCAGGCTAGTTTGGCCTACATAGTGAGTTCAAGCCCAGCCTGAACTGCATAGCAAGTCAAGACCCTGCCTCAAAAAAAAAAAAAAAAAAAAGGGAAGGGGTGCTGACAGTGTGGTAGAGTGGTAGGGCACTTGCCTGGCATCCATGAGCCCTTGGGTTTGATCCCCAGAACTAAAGAAAAATAATTACTTCCTCCTAGTGACATTGGTGTCCTTTGACAGTACCCTGCTGATGTGGTTGGGTTTTCTTGGTTGCCTGGAAGTCTTGTTTGCATGCCTGGTTCTCTAGCTTCTTGTTTATTTCTATGAGTAACCTGATATTTTTTTTTTTTTTTTTTTTTTTTGTACTGGGGATCAAACTTGGGACCTTTTGAGCCAGGTGTTGGCACACTGAGCTAAATCACCGACCTTGATTTTTTTCTAAGTAGCCTTTTTGGCCTAAATTAACCTGAGCTGGAAATTGCAAGCACAGAATCCTAACTAGGAAGCACAGTGCTTAGTCTTTTTGAAGTATAGGAATTATCCAGTGTGAGTGGAGGTGAAACCTTAAAATGAGGGTGGAGATGAGGACACTTACCAGAAGTAGAAGGAACGTGTAGGCCAAAGTAAGGTATATGGTGAAGACATTATAGCTGACCAGGAACTAAATCCTATGAGGTCTGACTTTTAGACTATGGTAAAAAAAAAAAAAATGCTTTTGGACAGTGGGGTTTGGTGGTGTATGCCTATAATCCCAGCACTTGGGATGCTGAGGCAGGAGGATTGCTCCAAGTTTGAGGCCAGCCTGGGCTATACACTGAGTTCAAGGCCAGCCTGAGCTACACAGTGAGGCCTTGTCTCAAAAAGAAAAAGGGGAAAGAAAAGCTTTTGGAGGCAGTTGTGCCTGTGGCGCATGCCTATAGTCCCAGCTGCTTGAGAGGCCTAGGTGAATGGATTGCTTAAACCTGCAGACGAGCCTGGGCAACATAGTGTGACCTCCATCACAAGAAAGAAAGAAAGAAAAAACACTTATGGGCACCAAATTCAATCCCTAGTACTCAAGGGGTGGGGGAGAAAAAAAGTACCAGTCCCACCCTGAGGATGTCCTCTTTCTCTCTTCCTTGCCTCCAGTATTAGGGACCGAACTCAGGCCTTCACACTGTGTTACCTCCTTACCCCTTTTTATTTTGTGGTAGAATCTAACTAAATTGCCCATTCAGGACTCAAACTTGGATCCTCTTGTCTCAGCCCCCTTGAATGTTGAGATTACAGGCTCCTAATCACCTTTCAAATGTCCCACTGTTTGCTTCTGTTGGCAGTGGCCATTAAATTTCTTTCTCTTTCTTTCTTTCTTTCTTTCTTTCTTTCTTTCTTTCTTTCTTTCTTTCTTTCTTTCTTTCTTTCTTCCTTTCTTTCTTTCTTTCTTTCTTTCTTTCCTTCTTTCTTCCTTCCTTCCTTCCTTCCTTCCTTCCTTCCTTCTTTTCTTCCGCCTTGTCTTGTCTTGTCTTTTCTTTTTTCACCTGGGATTGAACTCAGGACCTTGCACTTGCGAGGCAGGCAGAGGAACCACTGAGCTAAATCCCCGGCCCAGGCCATTAAATTTCAACATGAGTTTGGAGAGGGGACAAACATTCTGTCCACAGTCAGTATCTACCTCATACTGTTGTGATTATTGAATTACTTTATATGTGTAAAGTGTTTAAATTGTGCCTGGCACATAGTAAGTGCCCTATAAATGTTAGCTGTTACTATTGTTAATATTTATTGATGTAGGGCAATGACACAGTCCAGTTCGTTTTTAAAGGGTCATTTTGTCTCCTCTGTAGCCAAGAGTATGGAGAAATAAAATTGGAGACAAAGCTGGGCCCTGGCCCTCTCCATCTCAGTACTCTGGGAGGCTGAGGGATGAGGATCACAGATATGAGCCCAGCGTGGACAACTCAGCAAGACCCTGTCTCAAAAGAAAACAAAAACTAATAAAAGGGGTAGGGATATAATTCAGTACTAAGTCCCTGAGTTCAATCCTCCGTACCATACATACGCACATACACAAAGGAGGCAAGGGTATCATTAAGAAGCTTGTTGTAAGATTCTAAGCACTTGACTTATTTTATAGATTTGTTATTGTGGAAGTAGGACTAGGAGGTTGTCTTAAGTGACCCAGTGATTTATAATATAGCATGTGAAACAATTGATCTTCCAGTTGTTGGCAATGAAAAAGAGATAGAAAGGTAATAGTAAGCTGTTGCTGCTTACATTTCAGGTAGAGGATAAATTTCAGATTGACTACAGCTATTTGTAACATTAGTGACCATAGAAAGGGGGCATGAGAGGAAAGCAATTGATATTACTAAAGGTAAGTTTTAAGATTCTTAAGTGATTGTAGAGGAAGATAAAAAGAGGACTAGGAGAGAGGTAGCAGGAAAATCAGATTTTTCCAGTTCAGATAATTTTACCCAAGTCAAGTGATATTTCAGTCTAGAGCAGTCCAGACAAGTAATTAAATCCCTGCTTGAGTATCTTCGGTAATCTTAATATTTCAAACTCTTATGTTACTAAACAGCTGTAATTGATAATTGTATTGTGAGTTGAAAGTTTGCCTCCTTGTTACTTCACATATTTCAGATATTGGCCCTCATTTTGTGTGCTAAACAAAAATGGAGCAGTGTACTTATTTGTCTGTTGCATAGTGACAATTAAAAATTGGTTAACATGTTTCTCTGGTCTTTCCTGTAGGCTAGAGTACTGATTTTATTTTATTTATTTATTCATTTATTTTTGGTACCAGGGATCAAACTCGGTTCCTTGCGCTTGTGCAGCAGGTGGCGAAACCACTGAGCTAAATCCCCGGCCCTAGAGTACTGATTTTAGATTCTTCACTATATAGGTGTGTGTTGCTTAAAGATGTGACTGTGTTTCGCAAAGTGTATCCTTAGGTGATTTCATTGTTGTGCAGCCATTGTAGAGTATACTTATACAAACTACTTGATGTAGTCCCTGGATGGAATCGAGATGTGGTAACCAAGAGGTGTATGAGGCTGCTGCTGAGTAACGTGGCAAACTTACAGTAAACTTTATTTTTTTAACAAAGAAAAATGAGTACACTCTCAAGTAATGATAAAAATTTTATGGGCCCCTAGGATTTAGCTCAGTGGCACTGTGCCTGTCTGGCAAGTGCAAGGTCCTGAGTTTGATT